GGAAACGATCATATTAAAGATGATATCCGGGGGGAATTTCCCGATGAGACTCTTTTCTCTCTTAAGGAAATTCGCCCTTGGTACGCTCATATTGTTAATTTCCTTGTTCTAAACAGGTTTCCACCAAGCTTCTCTAAAGTTCAAAGAGAGAAGCTCCAACACAATGCAAAACAATACATATGGGATGAACCATACTTGTGGAAACATTGCAAAGATCAAGTCATAAGGTGCATTCCCGAGACGGAGATAGCATCCATTCTTACCTTTTGTCACTCACATGCATGTGGTGGCCACTTTGGAGGAAAGCGAACGGCCATGAAGGTACTTGAGTGCGGTTTTTGGTGGCCAAGCTTATTTCGAGATGCCCATGTCTTTTGTCAATCTTGTGACAACTGCCAACACATGGGCAACATCTCTCGAAAACATGAGATGCCGCAAGTTCCTATGCTCTACGTGGAAATCTTTGATGTTTGGGGAATAGATTTCATGGGACCTTTTCCTAATTCCCATGGAAATCTATTCATTCTCTTGGCAGTGGACTACGTATCCAAATGGGTGGAAGCAAAAGCCACAAAGACCGATGATGCCAAAGTAGTGGCGGACTTCCTCAAAACCCGCATCTTCTCAAGGTTTGGAGTCCCGCGCATTTTGATAAGCGATAGGGGCACTCACTTCTACAACAAAACTGTGAGTGTCTTGCTGAAGAAATATGGCGTCACCCACAAGCTCTCCACCGCCTATCACCCACAAACAAACGGCAAAGCCGAGGTCTCGAACAGGGAGTTGAAGTCTATACTCCAAAAGACGGTGAACCCTAACCGTAAAGATTGAAGTCTTCGCATAGATGATGCCTTGTGGGCATATAGAACCGCTTTCAAAACACCAATTGGAATGTCTCCCTATAGACTTGTGTTCGGGAAGGCTTGCCATCTCCCAGTCGAACTCGAACATAAGTCTTATTGGGCGGTAAAAACATTCAATCTTGACATGGAGCAAGCGGGGATGCAAAGGAAACTACAACTCCAAGAGTTAGAGGAGCTTCGACTTGAGTCATATGAGAATGCCGCCATATACAAGGAGAAGACGAAGGTATGTCATGATAAAATGATAATAAGAAAGGACTTCCAAGTGGGAGATAAAGTCCTTCTATTCCGATCACGCCTTCGTCTTTTCCCCGGTAAACTGAGATCACGATGGGAAGGACCATTTGAGGTGGTCAAAGTCTACTCACATGGAGCGGTTGAGATCAAAAGCCTTGACACCGATAAAATCTTCAAGGTTAACGGACATCAACTCAAACCGTTCCTTGAAGGCTTCCAAAGAGAAAGCATTGAATGCATGGATCTCTTTGATCCAATCTATGAAGGATGAACGCAACCATGGCGTCGTGCCGCGACGTTAACTAAGGCGCTCCTTGAGAGGCAACCCAAGCTAAGGTACGCATTTTTTTATATGTTTTCTTTTCAAATTCTTGTTTTTGAATGTCAATTTTGGGAAAAGGGGGAAAATTCTCAAAAGAAAATAAAGGAAAATCATGTTTTAAAAGCCTGGGAAAACCTTCGATCGGTCATCATCACTGACCCGGTCGGATCCATGCCGAAAAAGAGGATGAAAATGAACAAAAACACGCCCCAGGGTAGGGTACCCGATCGGGCCCCGTTGCTATACCCGATCGGGTACATATGAAAAGGCAGAGCTGGGAAGAAACCCGATCGAGGCAGAGGAAATAATTCAAGAGGGTACCCAATCGGGTACCCCTAAGGCCCGATCGGGTATAATTCCAGAAATTTCAAGTTTTTCCTTCGAATTAAATTACCCGATCGAGTACCCCCAAACTCGATCGGGTGAGAACCCCTGGAGAAAAATTTCAAAATCGACGTCATACCCGGTCGGGTATTCAAGTCACCCGATCGGGTGAATTAATCTGGAAAACTGGGATTTTCTTCGGCGAGAAACACCCGATCGAGTACCCCTAAACTCGATCGGGTACGAACCCGGAACAAGGAGAAACAACAATATACCCGATCGGGTATATCGGGCCACCCGATCGGGTACGCGACTCTTAAACCTGAAAACAGAGCCGATCGAGTCATCTTCCCCAAACATCCACTCCTAATTTCGCCCTCTCTCTCTAAAAACCTCCATTTTTGAAGCTTCTCTCCTCCATATCTCCACCAATACTCAACCAAGATCTATCAAACCACCACCAAAACACTCCCCTCACTCTCCTCTCCAACCTCATACCCAAAAATCACCATACCTCCCTCTCTCTCCAAAAATCCGAAAAAACCTAACCCCCCAAACCCCAAGTCCGAATTCAAGTCAAATTTGGTCATCCATGGCTCTAAAGAGAAACCAACCGGAGAGCTCCAATGCTAGAGGACCAATTCCGGGGTATGAGACCATCCGATTTGGGCCGGGAGATCACCGCAAGCGATTTTTGCCCATCATAAAAAGGCAAGTAGTTCCTTCTAGATTCCTATGTCATAATGCTCTTGAACAACTAGGCTTGTTGGATGGAATGAGGGAATTATTTGCTAGATTGGAGATGAATTTGATCTTTGATATGAAATATAATTGTGTTGACAAAGTGATTTATGAGGTGATGAGTTCGGTTAAAGTTGTTCTACATGAGGATCCGGCGGAGTTCCTCTACGACAAACTCACGTTTCGTTGGCTAAACAACGAATACTCAATAACGAGACGTGAGTTTGCGGATTACTTCGGCATTCCCACGCCCCATGAAAGGGGGATACCGGAGAGCACACTTGACGGGCACACTTTATGGTAAAAAATGACCGGAGAAAGGAAGGTGAACGCGTCTAAATTGTCCATTAGTCACGTTCAACATCCCCTTCTCCGGATATTCCTCAAGTTTTTGTGCAATTCTTTGCTTGGTCGCCCCAACAATCACCATACTTGGATGGGGGACGTGGCCGTACTCACTCTAGCCCTTTTTCATAGACCCACGGAATATAATCTTTGCAATTTAATGTGGGATCACTCCGAGGAGGCTTGTAAGAAAACCGGGAATATTGTGGTAGGGGGTGTAGTGATGCACTTGGTATCCAAATTTGGCTACACTTCTAATGACCCAATATCGCCCGACTCCTTGATACACATTGGATGGTTATCCAATGCGGGTTTAATCCCTTGGGCAACAAAGACCACAATGGAAAACAACGCTACAAGTGGCACATGAAGTACCCCGAACCCACCAAATATTTCCCCCTCCCTTGTGATGAATTACCTAAACTTAGGTATAAAATGGCCACATTTGAGATTCCCCATTACTCCTCCCAAACAACATTCCACCACATGATGCTCGGGTTGTTGTAAAATACTAAGATTGCAGCATTTAAAGGGGTGAAAAATTCTAAATTGGGTTTTTATGTTTGGGGTTGCGGACGGCCTTAGTGAGCACAACAACAAATTACATACTCCGTAGCAAAATAGGTAAGAATATATACATTCCCCGGTCCTACATATACACCATTTAATTTAATAACTCATTGACTCAATCTAGCTTGAACAATTATGGCAAAATGCTAAATTCTACAAAATGGTGTGTATAAATATCATTTTTTTCATTTACACCATTTGGGTTGTTTTTAATGAACTGTAATTTTCTGATCTAGTTTGATCTTAACTGCTCTGGTCAAATTTAGTTTGATTTGGTCTAGTAGATATCCATTCTGTGTGTATTTTACAACTGCCGAAATCTGGTCTGATTTGGTCTGATCTAGCCTATTTAATTTTGGAACAATATGGTTTGGTACTGAAACTAATCCAATAAAAACATGTAACTCCTAACTCACAAGTTTATTTTTCAACCATGTCTTGCTTTGCTTGTTGGGTAAGTTGATGCATCGTTTTTAGGGAAATTGCCCTATATAGGATTTAAAATGTTTATGAATTCCAAAATAGGACTTTCATGTTTTTATTTTCTAAATAAGAGTAATTACTGTCATGTTTTGGCAGAATCAGACTTTAAACATGATATTATTTTCCAAGCTTGATAGTAAGAATTCCTATTTAGATAATAAAAACATGTCAATCCTATTTTGGAATTCTAAGACGTTTTTACTTATATTTCAAAAACAATCCCTTGTTTTTAGTGTGTATATGTATATAGACCTTTTAAACCTAATTCTAACCTGTTTAATTTTAGCGTTAGTGTGCTAATGGAATTAGATAGTGGATAAGAGAAAGTAAATGTAACAAAAAATTGGGGCTCCAAATGAATGAAATATAAATTATACACATATATCCTATGAAAAATGGATTGTATTTATTAATTTATCTTTCATCCAAAAAGAATTGATTAAGCATATTTTTGATTTGACTAGTTTTAGTCCTATACCGATTACCGAATCACATTTCAACAGATTAAATTAGATCATACTACGTACTACATTTTGACAGTTATCCCAGGTCAGTTCAAATCAAACTATATCAAACTAGATTTAAACATATGAAAATAGTAAGAGACTTCCAATATACTACGTAATTAAAAACATCAAGTTTGGTGAGGTGATTTCCGTAAATTATCAATGGTACTTTTATCTTTGGAACTAAATTGTTTCTCCCATTAAATTCGACCTGACCAGACACTTCCCCCCCTAATGTTATAATGTAAAATATCACGTGAAATTCAATTCAATAACATACCAACACAGTAAATGTTTTGGTATATACCCTAGCTTACCATTTTTTTTTGTAAAGCCAGTATTTGTTATGACAAAGAATGTGATATGCCAGTTGTTGTATCCCTGGTTTGATACATGTATGTTAGACTAGCAATGACGATGGATCGAATTTGAGTCGCATTTGGGTCTACCATCATCCACCCATCAATTCTCCATTCGTCACGCATTCCATTTGTCACCCGTTTAATATTTCATTCACATACAATTCGTCCATCATGATATAATTAAGTGGATCGGAAGTATAATGTCTGAAATTAATATCAGACATTTTCATCAAAATCATTCTATAAATTCGTTTAAAACTTACTCCGTATTATTTAAAAGGATTCTAGTTCTTGCTTGTTTATACTGGTTCTGTTTCAAGAATGACATAAGTTGATTCTCTGTACGTGTCACACGTAACTCTTATCATTCTTCAGCTAATTAATCTTTGACTTATCCATCATAACCTATACAAAATTGGGTAATGTATAATATGTACGTAATAATAGAATAATAAGTAATGAATAACAAGTAGCTAGCTTAACTAGGAAGCCTCTTACTGGCCTGCTTCACGCCTAGCTACTTATCTCTGCTACGCATCTCACAATTTAACTCTTCTCTGCACTTCCTGGAATAGGGATCCGAGGACCGCGGTGGCAAATAATCCAGCCTCCTTTTTGACAAAGAAGTCATGAATGTCGAGCAAGCATATTTGAGCACGGTTCTTTGGATGGTGAATTGTGCATTCTCTGCTCTATACTTTTAGGCTATAAATAGATCTGTTTCATTGCACAAATGGACGTGTTTTGTAGTTGAGTGAGCTTGAGTCTTCCTCTAGTTCTATTTTTTTAATAGAAGAATAGAAGAATTTCCAACCAATATACACGAGACAAAGTCCATTCTTTTACCGAGAAGCAACAATTCCAACTTGAAAAACACATTGATAGCATCGGCAAAATAATATTACCCGCACTCCAGCAGTAGCTATCTCCCTTGTGGGTTCACAATCTGTGAGAATATTGCATCTGGTGACTCGTCCTCATCATTTACTCCCCTGTTCTCCTCTTCGATGCTCAACAACCCTGCATGCATGACGTAAGCATCTTTGGCTTTCTGTTCTGCCAACACTTTTGGACAATCCGGGTTAGTCTGCAACTGCAGCGAGAGTTCGAGGTTCCACAAAACAGCGCCCATAGTTGGCCGGTGGATTCCCTGATCGGACAGGCAATTCAATGCCGTCCCCACAAAGTTCTTTAGACAGTCCGGTGTTATCTCCCCTCTGATATGTGGATCAACTAGGCTATCGATTTTGCCCCACCGATGGCATTGTATGGCCCATTCTGCTAGACTAACCTGCTCTTTGGGTAGCCCGGTGTCAAGGGCTGCCCTTGCGCATAATACTTCAAACAAGACCACTCCGAATGAGTACACATCAGATTTATCGGTCAGTTTCTGTCTCCTGAAGTACTCGGGATCCAGGTATCCAAAGCTTCCCTTTACCATTGTGCTGACGTGTGTTTGGTTCAGGGCAGGGCCGGTTTTCGAAAGCCCGAAATCTGACACCTTAGCCACCCACCTATCATCCAAGAGGATGTTTGTAGTCTTCACATCCCTGTGGATGATGGTATACCTGTTGAGAATAGAGTCATGCATGTGACACTATAAAGTGTATAATGATGATACACTTCTATAAAGCACAATTCAACATTGGAAAAAAGAAATGGAGAAACGTGGCAAAAGCTAGGTGCATGGGGAATGTACAAATATATAAAATAAAGAGATATTGTGCAAATAATAATACTTCAAATTTATAAACTATTTAATTAACCATGAATTTCAGAATTCCGAAAAATTATCAATTTATAAATGATTCCATATAAAATTGGAAACGAGCACAACTCTAAAAGTCTCTTCAACTTACAAATTTCCAGCACTAGAAACTACTTAGTATTCATGCTTTTTTTCTTTTGCAATCTAGACTATGGGAAAGATGATTCTCATGAGGAAACATAATTTAAGACCTGCCTTTATGTACAACAGCTTTATAAAAAACTTCAGTTTTTACAAAACAGCCCAATACATTTTTTAGAATATAAAATATTTTCACCTAAAATGTGAAGAAAATGAAAGAAAATGTGAGGAAAGAAACATAAAGGTCTCTTATATTGCATGAAAGGAAAGTGAAAGAAACTATGTAGAATGAAAAGGTAGAAAAGAGAGATGTTGTCTAATTTTTGAGTGAAGAGAAACTTTCTTATCCCTTTTACTTTCTGTTAAACAAGATACTTTCTTTCCTCTATTCAACATGGACAACAAACATCTATAACTCGTTCTTTTATTTCCATTTACTACCAACTTGCTTTATTTCCTTGCTTTTCTTTTCAACTAAACACGTGTTGACCGTCAAGAAAGCTTGAGCACCATTTCTATCAAAGGTACTCCATACTTGTCACTAGTAAACGTACTAGAAAACTCACATCATGACTCCACAAAAAATATGGGGTTTTATGACCGCGTGCTCCTAAATCATAACAGCTTACTAACTCTCTCAATGTGAGCCTATATAATTAATCACCCATATCTTTATAAATAATCTAAATCCATATTTAGTCCTGAATTGTTCTACCAAACAAACAATAACAGTAAAATAAGTCCCACTTAAACTCCAACAAGCACGAAATGGGCAGTGAACACGAGCAAGTTGGTGTAATGAAAGGTGCTACAAGTTGGCGGGATCGCTAAACACACTTACACTAACCAAGCAAACATACAAAAAAGTAGAGCTTTGGGAAAGATACCTTGCACCGGTGTGAAGGTAGTGGAGTCCTCTGGCAGCACCAATGCATATCTCCAGTCTCTGTTTCCATGACAATGGAGGATTATTGTGTTTGTACAAGTGTTCTCTTAAGGTCCCATTCGCCATGTAATCATACACCAATATCATCTCATCGCATTCCCCGCATGCCCCGATCAGAGACACCAAGTGCCTGTGTCTAAGCTTGGAAAGCAAATCAATTTCTGTTTGGAACTCGTGAATTCCTTGTTGAGATGATGGATTCGATCTCTTTATCGCTACCTTTGTGCTTCCTCCGTCGATCTCCCCTTTGTATACCTTACCAAATCCTCCCACCCCAATGACCAACGAGTCGCTAAAATTATTAGTGGCGGCTTTGATCTCCGCCAGACTGAAGTGCCTAGTCAGTCCACTAAGATTAGAAATCCTGCTGCTGTTGCTGCTGCTTTTGGCGGACATCGTAGTTGTTTCGGTTGATCTTGAGCTTCCATACACCGGCAGCCAACCTCTGCGGCTGGATTCCCCTCTACCACTATCTGCTGTTTCCCGCCTCTGCAAAGCAACAAAACATAGTACTGCCCCGAAACCCATGGCAATGCCTAGGACGGACCCAACTATTATCCCCCGCTGACTAGTGTCTGAGTTCGCGAAAGATCGGGATTTACGCGAATTAGGATCCGGAACTGGCGGCGGCGGAACCGGATTTGGACCCGCCAGGGTTTCCCTAGAATCGTTCAATTTGAAAATCTCTATCCCATTGAGGATTGCGTCAAAAAATTGGGGCTTTGAGTCTCCATTGGGATGTAAAGCCACCCAAAGCTCATTGTCTTCATTGTCACCTTTGTCTCTATCTTTTGCATAGATCACGAAATCCTTGTGGATTGGAACACCCTGCCCTCCTCCCCACCCAATCACATCAGCCCCTGCAACCGCCGTCTGGTTGTTGATGTAAATATAGAATACCCTCTGATTTGGTTTGCTCAGCTGATACTCACAGAAATGCATCCTTACCAGATAACTGAAATTCCCGTCTATCCGGAAAACCCAAGTAAGATTATAGTGTATATTAACATCTGCAGAAGGCCCCATCGACCTAGAAGATTCGTAAACATCCAAAGGAGCAATGTAATTGGGGTAATCTGAGGAGTACTCAATTCTCACGCTCTTGTTAGCCTTACTGGTGACCCCAAACGCCGCCCCAAACAAGTAAGGCGAATCGTCGTACCAAGTTCTAGTCAGCCCGGAATCTTGGCTGGAGGAGATGAACTGACCGCCAACATTCAGCCTGTACATTGACTGCATCCAGAACGATGTCGTATCAACAGAGTCCTGAGGCAGCCCAACCAGAGATGCGGATTTGAAAATATCCGGCATCGGAATAACCTCTATGCCATTGACGAACGCGAAGGAGCCATTATAATCTGTTGAAGGGGTGAAAGTGAGGTTAAGGACACTAAACCCTAGAGGAGGAAAGGTGAATTCCCTGATTATATAAGCTTGAGTTAACGCCTGCGCGGTGATCGAGGCACTGAAATTACTGAGCATAGTGAACCTGCCTATTTTTACGGAGAAGAAGGAATTGGAACAGTTGAAGTTTATGTAAGAAGATGGGTAGAAATGAAGCCTGATCCAATGGCGAGAGTCTGGAGAAATAGGGAAGGAGTATGTGGATTCTACCTTGAGGATTCTCGCAGTCATGTAAGGGACAGTGGAGGACAAAGAAGGATCCTGGTATTCTGCTATGGCGGACATTGTATCATTCGGAGAAGAAGATCTGAGGAAATTTGTGTCTGGAATCCAAATTCTGCCGTCTGGATCGCTGGCGTTGCTTTTGGCTCCACAACCCAATACGAAAGAGTACGTATCTCCTTGGCTTCCATTTCTCGCGTGTACATTGGTTATCATACATGAAACCACAATCCCCAGGCATAAGAAATGGTCCAAATGGATTATGATGTTCATTGCTGTTACCAACACCCTCTGTATATAGGATGATGGATTTCAAGTTTGCAATCGTCAACATATACATAAGAGAGTGAGATTTTCCTTCGAGGCGAAACTAAATAGCATGAGAGATCATGCATTATTAGAGATCATGCAACGCGGAGATGCAAAATTTGATGATTTATCAGCTCTGTGATCAGCAGTATGGATCCTCTTCAAGTGTTTCTATGGTTTATGTATATACACATGTATAATTTCTCGATTCCGTTATTATGCTTTCATCATTTTTGTTAGGGATTTCCAGAGAACGAAGGTGGAAGATGGGAGTTTGTTAGGGAAGAATGGTGGTAGAGAAAGAGAAGAGTAACGTTTTTAACGTTTTTGGGCCTGCTTTCTTGCATTATTAAGGTGCTGTTCTGTTCGTCTTATTCTTATTACTTATTACTTATTCTTATTTTATTCAGATCAGATCAGATCAGATCAGAAAAATTCAGATCAGATCAGATCAGAAAGATTCAGATCAGATCAGATCAGATCAGAAAGATTCAGATCAGATCAGAAAGATTCAGATCAGATCAGACCAGATCAGAAACATTCAGATCAGATCAGAAACATTCAGATCAGATCAGATCAGATCAGAAAAGTTCAAACATGATTTATCACTTTTATTATTATATTAATTATTATTATTAATATTGTTATTACTATTATGATTATTATTATATAATTATTATTAATAATATTAATAATAATATGATAAAAAAATAAGATATTAATATAGTTATAATACTTTAATATAATAATAGTAATATAAATGCAATTATTAAGAAGACTATTATTATTATTATTATTATTATTATTACAATATTATAATAATAATAATATGATTAATATTATTATAATATTATATTGTAATTATATGTAATTATAATTATACTTACAATTATAATTCTTATAATTATAAGTATATCAATTGTAATTATTATAATTATATCTATAATTAATTATAATTATAATTGTAATTAATTATAATTATAATAATTATAATTACAATCATAATTATAATTATGATTATAATTATAATTATAATTATAATATAATATTATAATAATATAATACTAATTATAATATTATTATTATTATTATGTTAATTTAATAATAATATTAATATAATAATATCGTTATAATAATATTAATTGTATTTATATTACTATTATTATATTATAATATTATAATTAATGTTAATATAATTATAATTATTATTAATTATTAATATACTTATAATTATATTATAGTTATAATTTATGATTATAATTATTATTTTTATTATGATTATTAATATTATTATTATTGTTACTATTGTAATTATTTTACGGAGTAATTATAATAATATTGATAACTATAGTTACAATTATAGAGATAAATATTGTAATTATAATTACAATTATAATTATATAAGTAATTATAATTAAAAATATAATTACAATTATAATTATATCTATATTTATAATTAGTGTAATATGTATAAATTTTTTCATTTTAAATTTAATTTTAATTATTATTATTATTTTTATAGTTACGATTATAATTATAATTTTATTTAAGTTATATTTGTAATTGCAATTATAATAATTATAATTATAATCATAGAAATATTCAAATCAGATCAGATCAGAAAGATTCAGATCAGATCAGAAGGATTCAGATCAGATCAGAAACATTCAAATCAGATCAGACCAGATCAGAAACATTCAGATCAGATCAGGAAGATTCAGATCAGATCAGATCAGATCAGAAAGATTCAGATCAGATCAGATCAGAAAGATTCAGATCAGATCAGATCAGAAAAATTCAGATCAGATCAGAACTTAAAAAATTCAGATCAGAAACATTCAGATCAGGCGAAGAGAACAGCTTCTAAATCAACCTGATTAAAACTGTAGAAACTAGAAAGCATATTGGATGTTTCATTTTGGCCTATTTCAGTCCTAGTCCTAAACCAACTAGATCAGCAAATTTCGGTCCAAAACAAAACATCCTAAGTAATGTATACTACCTCATTTTTTTTCTTTTTCCTTCTTTTCTCTCTCTCTCAATGTATATTACTCCCTCCGTCCCGCTATGATTGTCCTATTTTACCATTTCGGTCCGTCCCACTAAGATTGTCACATACCTTATTTGGTAAAGTTTCTGTGGTTCTAAATAATTCCTACTTTATTCTTACTTTATCAATTCAATATCAATCACATAAACCCACCTTTATTAATAATCGTGTCACCTTCTCTTGTACCAAACATAGGGGGACGGAGGTAGTACATCACAAAAAGATTCGTCAAATGAACTTTTCTTGTTAAATGATGTTTTAAATTATTATATTTGTGTATAATTTATAAATTTTTTACCTTTATGAAAATATTTTGAATAGGGAATATTTTGATATAATTTTCACATTCAAAATAATTTCGTGTTATACAAGATCACTAGTCAAACTTGATTGTCATTTACCTTTGATCAAGAAAAGTCAAATTGACGAATCTTTTTGAAACATTGGAGTATAATCGTATTATAATGAGAAAATGGTTCTTGTAACACCGTCCCCAAATGTATTTACTTTTAAGTGAATAATGTATTGAACCTTATAGAATGGTTAATGAGTATACGAAGTTGTGAATTTTTATTAATTCTTTTGCGTGAATAGCAAATTCGCACGTGGGGCCCGCACCGGGAGCGGGGACCGCCCGATGTTCCCGAGACCATATATTTTATTCATCTTGATTTAGATAATATCTATATGGTGGTGGATACTTCATTTGAGCCATGAAAAGGTCCAGAGTTGACCGATTGGTCAAAAGAGGCTCAATTACCGGCATTGGCAATTTAACAGATAATAGCCCGAAATGAATTTCGGAGACTTGTAAATTTAAGTTGGGGAATGTATATTCATTATAAAGGGTATAATGATTAAGAACACATAATATATTTTATTTGACCCGATAAAATAAAATATATTTAAAACAGTCCGAAAAATACAACTTTCGGGACCGATTGTACACTTTTGGGCAAAAAGGGTTGACCTCCCACATGGGTGGGGGCCAACCCACGAATTTTGTCTTGAAAATGAAGAGGGTGGCCGGCTGGTAGGATAGGAGGGCATGGGAGGGGATTTTGAGAGGAAAGAAATGACATCAAACAAAATGAGTTGGACCCCCATCCACACTCATTTGTTCATTAAGACAAAACAACTATCCTCACCTTTTTCTCTCCCTCATTCCTGCGGCCAGCACACCCCAAGCAAGAACTAAAACTTTCTCCATCTTTCATTCTCCATTGTTGAAGAGAGCTCAACAAGAAGGAAACTCAAGAAAGGGGCTAAGGTGCT